CCCCCCGACATGCATCATTCTGACTTGCCGCCCTTGCCGACCGTATCCCGTACGAGTCACAGCCGCATATGGCGAGTAATATGTACGGTTGGGTTTGAAGATGATCTACCACTCATATTCACCTGTCGCTTTGTGGAAGACATATTCCTTGCCGTTGACAGTGAGCACCCCGTCCTTCAGGGTGCATTTCCTGCAGCTTGTCAGCGACGGCACGCGTCCCCTGTGTGCGTGCAAAACACCCAAATAATGATGTGGTACTGTATGGTGAGTGGTGAAAACCAAAAGACACAAAACATACCACTTGTTCTTGACCCGTTGGACCTTGTCGTACATGCAAAGCATGATGTGGCCCAGTCCCTCGTCGTCCACTTCATCATCATCATGTTCGTCCTCGGGGTCATCGAGGTCAGAGTTGATGGCGTCTTCGTCGTCAATGTCGTCGTCGTCGTCGTCCCCTCCGTCATGCCCTGCGATTCCTCTGCTTTTTCTCGAGGAAGTCGACGTGGCAGTGTGTCGGGCTGCTTCTTTCAGGGGGAGCATGAGGCCTCCGCCCTCCATGGACTTTGCCCTGGCTGCAATCTGGGAGTGAAGCATGCGATCGATTTCGACGCGCCCGAGCTCGTTGAGGGTGCCTTGAGAGTTTCGCTGCATCAGGATGCCTTCATAATCTTCATCAACGTCACCGGGGCCGTCGGTCTGGCCGTTGGGGATACTTGCTGTGCCATCAGCGGGCTGCTGGCCTTGCTGCTGGCCTTGCTGCTGGCCTTGCTGCTGGTGAGGCTGTTGCTGTTGCTGACCCTGGATAGCATTGATGGAGCCTGCAGCCCGAATGCCGTACTGAAGCTGGAGCTGCTGGGCTGCTCTGCTAGCCGCAACGCTGGACTTGTCTAGACCGTTGTAGTTTGGCAAGGCTGGCATGGCTGTTGCCGTGACAGGTTCTTGCTTGATGCTGGGCTCCTGCTTAACGACCCCGAGCTCAGAGTTGACGCCGTTTTGGCCTGTAGCGCCAGGTGTGACGGTGGCACTGGGCAATGACATGGTTGGCGAGAAGTGCGCCTGTGTCGTGTTGTTCTGGGGAGCGGGCTGTGGTTGAGCTGCGGGTGCTGGAGCAGGTGGCGGTGGTTCAGGCTTCGGGTCCCAAGGAAACCGCGCCACATCGAGCTGAGAAAGCTTCTGCTGCCATCCCTAAGACGGTGGTTAGCGAAATAAATTAAACAAAGCTGAAACCTCGGCTTTACATGGGCTGCAAGAAGTGACGAAGTGAGATAACAAGGAAAGAAGGGGGGGGG